ACCCACGTGTAGATCCGACCCAATCTTCTGATCTGCGTATTTTTACGAAATAAAGGGAAAACTACCCTTTTGGTCCCCTGCTGTGTTAAAAGGCCCCATTTGCATCCCTAAATTCATTTTAATATTGGCCCGTAATTTTTATTTTATTTGAATTTGGACACCTAACTCTTTCTTCTTATTTAATTCGACCCTTATTTCTATTTGTATATATTTTTATTTGTTACGTAATTTATTTATTTATTAATATTATGTATATATATATTTTTCATTTAATTTTATATATTTTTACTATTATATTTATTCTCTATTTTTATTGATATTCGTCGTTGTATATATATATTTTATTACTATTATTATTATATATATATTATACTCACATTAATTATATCTATCTACCCCCACCGTTTTTTTCTTCATTTTCATGCATTGCTGTACTTTGATTAATTAATAGATTAGGTTTGACGTTTTAACTTTATGTTATCATTATTTATTCTTTTTCGTCTTAGCATTTATTTATCATTCTTTCACTATGGTTTTCACCCGTTTCATTTAATATTATATGTATATGTTATCATCTTTCTTCATTTTATTTATTTATTTTTGTCTTTACTTTTTCATTCTTTTATTTTCTTTATTTTATATTACTTTCTTTATTTCGTTCGTTTTTGTATTATTTATTTTCATTTTTCTAACACATTTTTGAATTTTAAAGGGTATTTTTTTGACCAATCAAAGGTAAGTAATCTAGATCGCTATTTTTACCTTTTAATTTAAAATTACAATTTTCTTAATTAAAGATGACTGGAAATTACATAGTACCGAAAGGGCAGTTCAAGGGTGCTAACCCTTCCTTGACTGTAACCGGCTCCCGAATCCGACATATCACTGGTAAGAAGCGGATCAGGTAAGAAATAAGGTATCCGATCAACCCGTTTTATTTTTTAAAATAAATGATCGGTGGCGACTCCAATCCATTTGCCTAAGTCGAAGCCCAATTTCGGGCCCAACCGAAAGACGGTTACGACAATATCTTATTTTGTAATCACTCGTAACTATTTAGGAAAACAAAAAAAATCAGTCAAATAAATCCTAAAATTTTTCACAAGATTTTTCGAATAACTTTTTTTATTATGCTTTTTATATAAATAATAATTTGATCCATGATTTAAATCAGAGACTAACTTAAAGTTTTGGTATAATTAAAAGAATTTATTAAATATGTAGTTGCTATGTCATATAAAAAGATGACGATAAATCTAAATGATAATAATTAACCCAAAAAAGGAAATACATATTTACATAAAAAATTATAAAAGAGAATTATTGGTAGCGGATAATATTTCTAAGATTTTGTGTTACAATAATTATGATTCTTAAGGAAATATAATATTACAAAGAATATTTTTGGGAAATAGAACAGTTTACTAATATTAATATAAAAATCCAATAATAATAATTTACAATGCCAATTAGAGTTTTATGAGAAATGAAATAATTTTTTTAAGTTTATTATCGGAAAAGAAAGGAATATAATTAAAAAATATTATACTAATTTTTTTTAAAAAAATATAGGTCCCGGGTGGACACCCTTTTAAAAAATATTAATGATTCCTTTACCATATAGACGGTAGACCACTTAATTCGGGCATAAATTTTAACTTCCGGTCAAAATATAACGTGAGAAGTATAGTTATATATAAACTGAATCCGTATACAATGATAGAACCTCACATTCACAATAAAAATATGTATTAAGCTTGGGTTTAAAACATAGGTGCTTCCTCCTTTTTTTTAACTTAACTTTTCTTCAAATATTTTGGTGTCATCTTCCCTTTTCTTTTGATATTTTTTTAAGTTACTGATTACATTATTTTTAATATTGATTCTCGATCGTCGTAATTATTAATTTTCTTATTTTTCATACTATGTTCTTTTTTTAATTTTGAATAATAATCTTTGTGCTTACGACACTTTTTTTTAATATTTTTGTGACATATGTTCTCTTTGTTCTTGCGGCACACATTCTCTTTGTTCTTGTGACACTCATTTTCTTTGCTCTTATGATATGATCTTTATGACTTTTGGTATATTTTCGCATACCTTTGTGATCGTTTTAGTGCTCTCACAAAGACCCTCACGACAATTATTTTTTGATTGGTTTGTCGATTGTCACATATAGTCAAATCCCTTATTTGATAAAACATTGTTTAATGATATAATCATAATTATGTAGTGAAGTAAAATGTTTGATAGCTTAGTTCACTCACCACTCATTTATCACTTTATAAAGTTTCTCATTCGATAGAGACAACGAAGTTTTATGAAGGTTATTGTGTTCTTTCGACATTGGTCATCATTCTCAAGGAAATGTTTCATTTTTTTCGTATCTTTACTTTGACACTTTTATTTTTGTATGAGTTTTCTGTAACTTTTGTACTATTTTTCTTTCTATATTTGAGAGTTTTATAATTCTAATTCCTTTCATTGTTTTACAAATTGAATCTCGTTGCTATCGTTTAGGGAAAAAATGTAGTAAGCTTAGTTTAAAATCCTCTATACCATCATAATTTTTTATAATTTATTTCTTCTACTCAATGAGTTAAACTATCAAGTTTTTTTTTAAATAAAATCAAAACAAAATTTAAAGCATAAATTCTAATATAGACATATTTATTTAAATACAAAACGAATCATATATATATAAAAGAGTTTACATATGAGAATGGATTTTGCCGCCACTAAAACATCTGCTACTTCCCTGGTGAACGTGGAAATAATATGCATCATTCATGATATTATTACTTTTCAAAGGAAACGAAACTAACCTTTCCAAGTGAAGATTAAGGATGACAATTTAACTCTTAAGGTTTTGATTTGATTAGATTTGATAGAATCCGATCTTTTTTTAAAAATTCGGGTTCAAATCGGATTAGATTAGACTTTTTTAAGGGAGTGAAATTAGGTCGAATCTAGTTCAAGTGGATGGTGAAAAACTCCAACGAAATCCGAGCTAGAGATAATGTAATTTCATTAAGCAAATTTATGGATAATTGTTATAATATCCCCTCTATTTATTAATTTTTAATTAAGTCTTTATTTTATACCAGATTAAGTCGGGTCAGATCCAAAAATTCAAGTTGAGTCAAAATTGATGAAATATATATATTTTTCGGGTCGAATCAAATCGGGTAAACGATATACAATTTTTGAATCAAGTCAAAATTCAGGTAGATGATACACATTTTCCAGGTGAAGTCGGATCGACAAAAAATCAAACCCAATCCATTCCCGTGGCCATCCCTAGTGAAGATATAATGCCAAGGCTTATCTTTTCATTCAGTGATTTAACGATTCCTTTTCCTCTATGGAATCGATAATTCATTTCACCGTTTAAAATTTAAAAAATAACTTTATATTTAAAATTGATATATAAAAAACTTTTGATATTAAATATAAAGTAAAACCGAATTGACTCGAATGAGTTGAATGAATGAAACACATGTTCATATAAATTAAAAGTTTTAAAATTTTTAAAACCCTAATTTTAAACATACAAGGCTGAAAGATACGTGTAAAAGTATTATTTCAGTTTTTTTTAATATATTGGATCTTAGCGACATCCAGCTGTTTTATGGAGTGTTGATACACAGGTGGTCAATTTTGGAGGATGAATTAAGCTTTTTATGTATGTGGAACTTAGTTGGAAACCAAGATTGGAGACACTGACTTGTATATTGCCCTCATTCACTAACTTATTTTTCTCGCACTTAATAATTGTTTAGCACTTCGAAAACCAATAAATAATTAGTCAATGCTAAAGCCTTGTTTCCAATGCTATAAAATAATGGAAAATGTTGGCTTTCCCCCTTCATATTCCAATACTTTTACCAACTTACATCCAAAAATGTCTTAAAGCACAAACCCTTACTCCCTCAACGGCTAAATCCAATTTACGGGTACTTCTTTCAGGAAATTGTCTTCCCAGTTTAAGAACCACACGTGCTGTTAAGCTTAATTTAAATGTGAATAAATTACACTAATCGTTATTTTTATTTTGTTTCTTTAATTTTAGTTATTCAACTATTAAATATTATGCTTTAATTATATGTATTATCGAATAATCATTCACATAATTTTTTACATGAACTGAGGTGATTATAAAATAATATTTATTTATAATTTTATTGATTAATTAGTGACGTACATGTACTTTATAGACGCGACTGTTCGAACTTGTGATATCTAGAAATAATAATATTTCCTTTTACTAAGAAGGTGAATCGAACATTAACTATTGTTACGTTAAGAGAATGAGATATTAAACAAATTAACCCTAAAAATTATAATATTCAATCAATAATCCCTCCAGAATAAAATTTCAAACAAAAATCTCATTGTTTCTCTCTCTCACCCCACTACTGTGTCTTCTGCTTTTTTACCTCCTACAAATCTGTATCCCTTCCTTGAGACGTAATCAATGTTTTTCAAGAAAAAAGAAACCTAAATAATATAATAATTTTAGTAAACATAAGTTAGTTCAACAGAATGAGTCGGTTTGACAATTCAATCACATAAATAGAATCGAAAAATTAAAGAACAAATTGGAATCGATAAATAACGAGGAAAAGAAGCGATAAACAAATGAAGCATACGTAGTAATATTGTTTGAGTGATGAAAGCAGGGAGGAGGATTCATATTATCTGAGTATGGATCAGTGGGTCCTCAAACCGCGTCTTGTACAGTAATTCTCTCTGTTATTCTCCTAGGTTCCTCAAATCTCATTGGTTCTCTTCCCACAAAAAAAAAACTTGTTTTTAAATTCCAATTTTCAGTTTTCTAGTTTCTTGACATGCAAAGTTTCACCATCTATTTTTTATCACTTTGCGCAGCTGCTTGGAACCTTACTTTGTAAACAGTGATCCCAGTATTTGTATAAATACCCTTGCACTGGGGTTACCACAATCACCATTAATGAAAGAAGAAACCAGTAGCACGTAATATGGAAGGGAAGAAGAGTAGCGGCGGCAGCAGCACTACCCGGGGAGGCTTATCTTCGAGCTACAGGGGCGTTCGTAAGCGCAAATGGGGGAAATGGGTATCTGAAATCCGCGAGCCCGGAAAAAAGACGAGAATCTGGTTAGGCAGCTTCGACACACCCGAAATGGCGGCCGCAGCCTACGACGTGGCCGCGCTACACTTCAGGGGTCGCGAAGCACGTCTTAACTTCCCTGAATTGGTCACTTCTCTTCCGAAGCCACTGAGTTCCAATGCCGATGATATCCGAATGGCAGCTAACGAGGCGGCCTTGGTGGTGAAGACTAATGCGGCCCAACCAGACGTCGCCAGCAGCTCCAGTGCCGCCGTCGGGCCTGTGACGGTCAGGCTGAGTCAGAGCCAGATTCAGGCCATCAACGAGTCGCCTCTGGACTCTCCCACGATGTGGATGCAAATGTCGGAGGCATTGATGATGGATGAGTCGATGATGTTTCCCAATGAGAACGAGGAGACCGATCAGTGGGATGACATGCAGAGTGATTCCCTATGGGATCCTTAGGTAAACCAATAAGCCAATAACATAACGAAGATATTTTTCTAAAATATTCGCTAATTATATATTATTCAGATTTTTATTCTAATTTAAATTGAAATAAACAAATTTTTAACAATATTTATTAAAAGGAAAAATAACTCGTACTGAACTCACAATCTAAAATGAAAGATAAATATCAATTGAAATTTTTTAATTATCTATTTTAATGATTGTTGATTTAAATAAACAATTTTTAAAATAACATAATCTGTTTCTTATCAATAAACAAGAGTGGTTAGTGGGGGGTAGTTTTGGGCATTCGTTGAGAGAAGGCCACGTGTAACTCAATGCAGAGTTTTTAGTGGGTCCCATTGTGCTTTGTGAAAGAGCCACCGTCTGACAAATGGACTGCTTTTTTATGAGCTGTTGAAGTCATTGTTGTGATTTGTTTTTCATAAATTATATAATAATCGACTCATGTGACTGAATTGTATTTCTCATTTAACTCAATGTTTCATTATTATTTATATGGGTAAAGCAACATATTTTCTTCATGTTTTTTAATTTCTATGTAACTTAGGTAGAAGGGTAAAATGTTATCTGTTTTTATTATAATGATAAATTTAATTCTTAATATTTATATACTTTTAAAATTAATTTTATTATATAAATACTAATCACTTCTTTGAGAGAATTTGATTATTTCTAATAAAAAATATTTATTAAAATATTAAAATATTTATAACGTTAACATGATGGTTTATTTAATTGTTAATACGATTATATATCATTTATGACATGTCAATAATTTATTTAAAATTTATAAAAATATTCAAAATATTTTTTGAAAAGGATGAAATATTTATTCAATATCATTTTTACATGTCAATGTTGTTAAACTTTTAGTATTTTAACTTCTATTTATGCTAATAATAATAATTCTTACACTTTTTTTCTCTTAATTTTAAGGGTTTATCTTAATTAATTTGAACCGATTTACGTCTCACATTTGATTTCAGAGGATGAAACATTTAGTAGAAATCTTCTACATACACAAGATCTCAAAGTCGGAACTTACTTAAGCGATATCATGATACTTATCACATAAACTAATCTCCATTAATTATAATTATTACACTCTTTAAAAGAATTGATAGTTAAATTTCAATTTTTTAGTTTAAGATTAAATTGAATTGAAATGATAAAAAATAAATTAAAAAATTAAAATTGATGATGAAAATTAATATTATGTTTATGTATAATTAAATCAATTAATTTTTTAAACTGAAAATAATATAATAAGTAAACCGACCATCGCTCTAATACTAAACCTAATATAACACGTCCCCGCCAAGGTGTTTTCGCCCCAATTATAAAAGAAAAGAACAAGAAGCGGAGGGAATACTTTAAGCAAGCTCAAAACCGAGCAAGCTCCTCTCAATCTTTGGCTTATCATCGCGAGGGAATACTTTAAGCAAGGCAAGGTTGAACAATTTCAACAAATTCTGGAAGAAGGATCCAGTCCTGAAATCGACGAGTATCATGCCGATGTTAGATACGAGAGGATCGCTATCCTAAATGCTTTAGGGGCTTATTATAGCCACCTTGGAAAAATCGAGACGAGACAGAGAGAAAAAGAGGATCAATTTATTTTGGCTACTCAGTATTACAATAAAGCATCGAGAATCGTTATGCACGAGTCTTCAACTTGGGTTGGCAAAGTTCAGCTTCTCCTGGCAAAAGGTGAAGTAGAACAGGCATTTGCTGCGTTTAAGATCGTCTTGGAAGGAGATGGTGATAATGTTCCTGCTTTTCTTGGCCAGGCATGTGTTGAGTTCAATCGAGGTCGTTATTCTGATTCGTTGGAGTAATATAAAAAGACCTTGCAACTGTATCCTAATATCCCTGGAGCTGTCAAACTCGGGATTGGTCTCTGTCGATATAAATTGGGTCATTTTCAAAAGGCTAGACAGGCATTTCAGCGAGTTTTAGAGTTAGACTCAGAGAACGTTGAAGCTCTTGTTGCTTTGGCAATCATGGATTTACAAGCAAATGACGCTGCTGGGAATGAGAAAGGAATGGACAAAATGCGTAGAGCTTTTGAGATATATCCCTATTGTGCAATGGCACTGAATTATCTAGCATATCACTTTTTCTTCACTGGACAACACTTTTTAGTCGAGCAACTGACCGAAACAGCTCTCCGTGTCACCGATCATGGACCGACGAAATCGCATTCTTTCTACAATCTAGCACGCTCTTATCATAGCAAGGTGGACTTTGAGAAAGCTGGGTATTATTACATGGCATCTATTAAGGAAATCAATAAGCCTGTTGAATTTGTGTTTCCTTACTATGGTTTGGCACAAGTGAAACTAGAGTCGGGAGATTTTAGGAGTGCTCTTTCAAACTTTGAAACTAGAGTCGGGAGATTTTAGAAGTTTACCCTGATAATTGCGAGACATTGAAGGCTCTTCGGCACATATATGTTCAGCTTTTTCATGTTGAAAAGGCCCAAGAATTTATGAGAAAGGCTGCGAAAATCGATCACCTGGATGCTCAGGCATTTCTTGATCTAGGGCTGCCTTTGATACCTTCAAAAAGGCAACTAATCTTCTGGAAAAGGGAGGTCAAGCTGTGCCGGTAGAAGTGCTCAACAATATTGGCGTTCTGCATTTCGAAAGGGAAGAACTCGAGCTAGCCCTGGAAAGTTTCAACAAGGCTCTGGGAGATGGTGTATGGCTTGCTTTAACAGTAAATAAGCCAAAATCCTATGTTATTGAAGCTAGTGCATCTATCCTGGACTACAAGGATATGCAAGTATTTCGTAGGCTCGAGGAAGATGGTATTCCTGTGGAACTACCCCTGAATAAAGTAACAGTTGTACGTAACCTTGCCAGATTACATGAGCAGAGTATCCATACTACATTGATGCTTATCTGAGGCTAGCTGCCATTGAAAAAGCTCGAAATAATCTTCAATTAAGCATTGAACTGGTTAACGAGGCGCTGAAAGTGAACGGCAAATGCCCCAACGCATTATCCATGCTTGGTGACTTGGAGCTCAAGAATGATGACTGGGTAAAAGCAAAAGAAACATTGCGTTCAGCTAGTGATGCAACCAATGGGAAGGATTCTTATGCCATTCTTTCTCTGGGGAACTGGAACTACTTCGCAGCAAACCGCAATGAGAAAAGAAATCCCAAGTTGGAAGCTAGACATTTGGAAAAAGCCAAGGAACTGTACACAAGGGTCCTTGTTCAGCATACAGATAATTTATATGCTGCTAATTGTGCTGGAGAAGTATTGGCAGAAAAGGGCCAGTTTGATGTTTCAAAAGATATATTTACGCAGGTACAAGAAGGTGCAAGTGGGAGTGTTTTTGTCCAAATGGCTGATCTATGGATAAACTTGGCTTATATCTTCTTCGCACAAGGAAATTTTGCTTTAGCTGTAAGAATGTATCAAAATTGCCTGCGGAAGTTCTATCACAATACGGACTCTCAGATTCTTCTCTACGTAGCTAGGACTCATTATGAAGCTGAACAATGGCAAGAATGCAAGAAAACTTTATTTGAGAGACATCCACTTAGCTCCTTCGAATTACACACTAAGGTTTGATGCAGGAGTAGCAATGCAGAAATTGTCGACATCAATACTTCAGAAGGACAAAAGGACTGCAGATGAGGTTCGTTCAGCGGTTGCAGAGCTAGAGAATGCCGTTCGCATGTTTAGTCAATTATTCGCTGCATCGAACCTTCTTCTTCATGGGTTTGATGAGAAGAAGATAAACACCCATGTTGAGTATTGCAAACACTTGCTTGAAGCAGCAAAAGTTCACCGTGAAGCCGCTGAACATGACGAGCGGCAGAGCAGGCAGAAACAAGAAGCAGCTCGTCAGCTTGCATTGGCTGAAGAAGCCCGTCGTAAGGCCGAAGAGCAAAGAAAGTATCTGTTGGAGAGAAGGAAACAAGAAGACGAACAGAAAAGGCTCCAGCAGGCCGAGGAACATTTCAAGCGTATGAAGGACCAGTGTAAGAGTAGCAGCAACCCTTCCAGGCGAAGGGATAGGCCTGCAATCGATGACGAAGAGGGTGGGCATAGTGAGAAGAGGAGAAGAAAAGGTGGGAAGGGGAGAAGGAATGATAAGAACAAATAGCGTTACGAGAGAGACGATGACATGATAGATGAAGATGCCAACAGGAACTATAGGGAATCTACAACTCAGATGAATGATCAGGACGATGACAATGGGGAAAATCCTCAGGATCTTCTTGCCGCGATAGGATTAGAATATTCCAATCTGGAGGATGATGAAGTCGCTGCGCCCTCATCAGCTGCAAGAAAACGGAGGCAGACATTATCGTAAGCATAATGATAATTCATATATACTAGATTGAAAGCAATTTTTTCGTTCAATATTCTCTGCTGCGGTTATCACTTGGAATTCAGGAGTTACAAGTAGTTTTCGCATGCAAGGTAGCGGCCGTGACTTTGTCCGGTCACTTCCTTGTTATTTATTTATTTTAATAAGTTTTGTTCGATTTTATTATTTTTCGTTGTATTTTAATGTATTTATAATAATATTTATTTTTGATTATTTTTTATTCGTATTATGATTATCGATGTCATCGAGCTTTCGGTGTAAGTTTCTTCCATTGGTTTTCTTCTCAATTCGTGATTCTACGAGATTCTTTAGCTGTTTTCTTTCTTAATGCCTAACCATTCGTTCGTTTGTATATAACATTGCATTGTCTTCCAAAAATATATATCGATTAGTGTTTGTCTGGATAGGCCATAATTTATTTTCGACGATAAGTCCTTTGTCTTTCCTTGATTCTTCCCATAATGGTTGGATGAGACTACGGTTAAGGGAAAATTAGTTTTTCATACATCTTCTTTGGATACTCTTCGTATCTTTCTGGTTCGCTTTTGTTAATCAGATTGTTACTAGTCATACATCGTTAAATTTTATTTATGATTATCCTGAATATATTTTTAATATTATTCTAAATTATGTCTTTT